CATTGAAGATCCAAAGCACATGTCGAAGTGTGCGACGCAACGCGTCAGTATTTCCAGCAATGTTTGGATAGCCACTGCGTCAGATTCCGCATACTCCTGGTTTGTCAGTCGGTCGCTTGGTAGAACTTCCACTCCGGTAGAGTCTGAAAGAACAGAGTCATTCTTGAACACTTCGACCACAAAACTGAAGGGAAAAGGAGAGATAGGACAATTTTGGTGAACCCCACTTGTCGTGGGGAACTCAGACAGTTTCCCGTAGATCATTACACGACGTCGGAGAACACGGTAACGAGTTAAGAATGAGAAGAAATTTAGCTAACATGCCCTTCATGGATAGGCAGTGCCACAAACTGGCGCGGTCAACAGAGTCGAAGACAGCTTTTAAGTCAAGGAAAACCACTACCGTCGGTCGTCTGTATGTGTGTCTGCTCTAAAATTTGGCGAAGAGTAAATATGTGGCGGATGCAACCACGAATAGGGCGGGAGCCAACCTGGCTTTCTGTGAAGCCGCTCTCACGCGTAAAAGTAAGCAGAGGCAAAATACAAAGAGCGGAACGATAATTAATACGTTAATGTCCAAGAGCGACAATTGATGCAGCTACACAGAGTATGCTCTGCTCGCTGCTTCTAATCAGTATCAGTATCAGCGGAAGTTCGGAGGCAATGAAGATAAGGATAATGCCTCCATAATTTTCGAAAAATGTACGCTGACCCCTTTTAATGATGGGTACGATAGTTGACAGTGACATCTGCCAACTCAACCACAGTGCTCAACAGAGATCTGCCAGTTCCAAAGTCTCCCATCTTCGCTCCTGCAACCCGGAACGCAGTTCAAACTTGTAGCCTTCAACGTACGCACATTACTGCAGATCGGTCAGCAAGCTGAACTTGCCCGCACGCTAGAGAACCTAAGAATTGATATCTGCTGCCTGAGTGAAACACGGCTCCAGGACTCCAACTCAATCTACCAGCTGGTGTCACCGCTCCACCCACGCACCCGCTTCCATCTCCGCCGCCGGTGACGCCGAGTCTGCCGCACCTGGGCAAGCTGGTGTTGGAATCGCCCTCAGTGCTAGAATCGAGACTGCTCTGATTGATTGGATTCCAAGCAATAGTCGCCTTTGTGTGATGAAGCTCCATGACTCTTGTAAAGTTAGCAGACGTCGAGTCGAAAAGCGTGCTCTCTTCGTGATCTCTGCCTACGCGCCTACTGAGTGTAGCTCGGACACAGTCAAAGACCAGTTCTACCAGAACTTTCAAGAGCTGCTCCTAAGGGCTCCTAAAACAGACATCATTGTTTTGGCAGGAAACTTCAACGCGCGTGTCGGTCGTCTGCTGTCATGTGAGCGCCACCTCGGGTGACCGTATGGATATGATGACGAAGAGAGATGATAACGAAGAGAGACTGCTCAGTCTGTGTGCTGATCATCAACTATTTCTCTCCAGCACCAGCTTTCGTCATACTGGACGCCAGTACGCCACTTAGCGCCCCCATCATCAACCCACCGCTGGTCACAGATTGACAACATAGCTATAAGTCATAGATGGCGCGGCAGCGTACGCGACTGCCGATCATTTTGGTCAACATGTGTCGATACCGATCATGCACTGGTATGTGTGACCGTTTGCATGCGTTTCGGTGGTTCGCCTAGGTCAAAACATACCCCACTGAACACCTACAAATTGGAGGACCAAATGGTGAAGGAATATCAATAAAAGCTTCGTGAAAATCTCGCTCTCTCACACTTTGGATGTTGATCAACACTGGTAAAGTCTGCAACAAGCCATGCTATCGGTCAGTCGGTTTGTCCAGCTGTGGTCTCGCTCGCTCCACTCCCAAAAGCTGGATCTCAGGAAGATCCTCGGAATTGCTGGATCGTCGACGGGCGGTGCCTACTGGCGGAGAGTACAACGAACACCGCCGGTCTATTACGCAACAGCTGAAAGCAAGCCTTCACTCTGATCATGAATTTTGGTGGTCAAAACAAGTTGATAAGATGGAAGCCACTGCATCAGCTGGCAACCTCCGCCGTCTATGTCATATCATCAGGGCCACCAAATGCAAGTTCCACGCTATCAGCCAGACGATTTGCGAATCAGACGGCACAAAGATCACCAACCTTCACAGGCGATTGGGTCCCTGGGCAGAGCATTTCGCTTTTCAATTCAACCACCCAACACAGCTCCCTGTGACACCTCCAGCCCCAATGGATGATGCTTGGCCTGTCTCCACATCCCCCCCCCCCCCCAAATGAAGCAGAGATCCGAAATGCAATCCAATTTTTGAAAAGCCACAGGGCTCCGGGTCCCGACAGCCTAGCAACGGCTCTATTCAAAGAGGGCTGGAGTGTACATGTCAGCGAAATCCTATCGCTGTTCACGAAAGTTTGGACTGAGGAGAAGGTTCCGAACTCATGGGGAGAATCGGTCTTTGTTCAGATTCCCAAGAATGGCTTCCGCGACGATAGCTGCAACTACCGCGGAATCTCATTAATCTCTACCGCATCCAAAATCTTCGTGTCGGTCTTACTTCGCAGGCTTTAAACGACTAGAGAGGAGTTTTCCGGAGAAGAACAAGTCGGATTTCGTCCAGGCCGCGGCTGCATCGACTAAATTTTCACCCTGCGCCAACTTCTCGAACTTCGTCACATCCAGCGGCGGCCAACAATCATAGTGTTTTGGATATCCGAGCGGCATTTTATTCAGTAGATAGGCCTGTGTTGCGGAACTGTTTACTGAAGAAAGGTGTGCCCGACAAGTTTGTAACTATCCTGAAAGTACTTTACAGTCACACGTCGGGCAAAGTTAGGGCATACGCACGCACTCCTCTTCATTTGCTGTGACCAGCGGTGTTCGCCAAGGTTGCCCTATTTCACCTTTCCTCTTCAATTTCGCCATCATAAGATGTTGTCCAAAGAGCACTGGAAGGTGTCCAGGACTGCGGTGTTGAGCTCCTCCCAGGAGACAGAGTCACGGACTCGGACTACGCCGATGACATCCCCTTGCTGGGGGACGACCCACAAACAGTCCAGAGCGCCATGGACCGCTTAGCGATAGAGGCGTCTAAGTACGGCTTATGATTCACTCCGGGAAAATGTAAAACGCTGCTCCAGGACTGGCAGGTGCCTGAACCCGTGCTCACCATTGCTGGACATGTTCTGGAGCAAGTCCCTTGCTTTAATTATTTCGGGAGTTGCATGACGGCGGGTGGCGGTGTTGGAGATGAAGTCTCACAACGGATTGCAAAGGCCCGCCTTGCATTCATAAAAATGATACGCCTATGGCGTCGTTGTGATGTCAGCCTCATGCTCAAGGGCAGGGTGTACAATGCTTCCGTCCCGTGAGGACATAGGAGATAGTCCATTTGGTTCAGGCGTTTTGAACAACTGTATCTGTGTTAATTCTTTGTGAACTGTCACACTATCGATGGGTGGTGAAGTTTGTGGGGGAGTTGCAACGGTAAAGATGGTAAGTGCAATGCTGAATCCTTAATATGACCAGAGAAATTGATGATTAATTCCTCCACATTGAGAGCAGTGTGTGTGACACTTCTGACGACTCCACTCAGGTTCTACATCATTTTTTGTATTTCTCGGCAGTTATTGTTTCCAAGTATAGTTTGGACATAAATATGGTTGAGGCGGCACATTTCATTTGTTATATCAGTCGTTAAAGACTTTACTGAAGCGGTATCTTTAAGTTTGTAAGCTTTTTCTTTGAGTCTACGCGGTCTTTTAAGGCATTGAGATAAAAACCAATCTGCGCGAATGAAAATGGTTTCCATAGGACAATATAGCTGGTTAAATGATCCCAGTACTTCGACAAATCAGGATTGTAAAATATATTGAAATCCGTAGAGGCAACAGTTTCGCGTAATAGTTCATTGTTTCGGGAAAGGCATTGTCGTTGCGTTAACTTGCAATCTTTGCAGCGAATAACATTGTTGTAAATCGTTTTGCCGTAGATTATGGGAGTCAACTTTATGGTGGCATGAACTGAAGTTCCAAACGGTGTCTTGGTACAAAAAGAAAAAGCGTCGAAGTTGTTGACAAACACTAGGTCTGAGTTGTTTGTAACCTTGTTGCAGACTGCACCATATTCTCCAGCCCATGATTGGTAATAAAAGTAGTATCGAATCTATTAAAGTCACCGGCAAAACCCATAAAGTAGAATCTAGATGCTCAATGACGGAAGTTATATAATCGTCATAAAAGTTTTCAACATCTACTATAGGGCAGCTGGGAGAAATATAAATGTTGGCTAACAGAATCGAACCATAGCCACTCAAGAATCGAGGCCTGCATTTCACAAGTAAAGAGTTAGTGCGCTGCGGGTAATGACGATAGATAATTTTTGTCGGCTTGCACCATGAAGAATCTGTGTATGTGATAAGGCTACCGCCACGGTGCCTGTGCGTACATGGGCTGTTAACGCGATGCACTGTAAATCCGTCAAGTGCCACAAATGTAGCTTTTACGACATTGCGCAGCCAGGTTTCCTGTAGCATAATGATAATCAGTTGGGAGTATTCGCGACAGTTTGTTATACTTGTGAGCTCATCTAATTTGCTCACAAGCGAACGGATGTTGGCACTGATCAAAATAGATATACTCAGACGGCTGAGTACTTTTTCCCTCGAATTGCAACTCTCCATCCAGCGCGGTGCCTTCTTGTTTTCTTTTGGTTCCTTTCCACTTGTTCCGTACAGACCGACCAGGAAAAGTGCTAGGTTCCCGTTCGTGAAAACGAGCAGACTATTTAAAATGCCGCAAACGTAGGTAATCATGACGCGACTCGCGCAATAAAAAACCGATGAGTTAAAACAAAGGAGTAACAATAGTGAATGTGAGCGTGCGTGTCGGTAAATCCGGTGGACAAGAATCATAAAGCATGGCAGAATTTGAAGGCCCGCCAAGTTGACAGCGAACTGGTTGAAGTCCAGACCACTGAGTTAAGGCTATGATGAAGTAATCCACTCAAAAATAAACACTAGTACATACCGTCGAAGTGCCGGATTACTGCTGTAGGACTTGGCCAAGAAATAGTGCAAGTCGACCAGCCGTTCATGATCGTCACTGTGTTGACGCATCTCAGCAGTAGCGGCCAGTACCGTGCGTATGCGTCGAATGAGATCGTCCACTTCGTCCGCGAACAACTGGCGGTTGTTACCAAACAGCCAAAATTTCGAATCCGAATTCGTGGCTGTGTAACTGCCGCGCATATCAGTGTCCACGAGTGAGTGCAACAAGTTGAGACTGCAATCGAAGCCGGGTCCGATTTCGCTGACCAATTTGGAAACGGAGATGATGGTCTGAAGACGGATGGAGTGAGTGATGTGAGGTATGACAGCATCCACTAGATAACAGTTCAAACGTTACAAGGGCTAAAAATAAAGGCAGCTCTCCAGAAAACCAGAGAATCATCTCCAATCTTTAAAGACTCCTGCATAGTACCAAGGATGAAAGAAGCACCTAAGGAACAACTGAGGTAGTGATATAAAGTGCAAATGACGAGTAACCAGACAATCCAGGAAGACCGCATGTAAAGAAGAATCTGTGGTTCCTTCCAACGTTTCAATAGGTGGAGTCTCTCCAACGCCGCCGTGAGAAGCTAGTTTACAGCTGACCTCCGTGTCAGCTTCCCCTCTACGCCAGTCGTGAGCCAACAACTGAAAGAAAACATACCGACGTCGAATATTTCCTTCTGTGTGTACCGCTTTTCTTGCACGTGTCGTACAAGTTATATTGGAAAGACGATCAGGCGACTGCCCGACAAAGCTCGGTAACATTGCCCGGCATAGCGCTACACCGGTGTGAGAAAGCCGATATCGAGCGGAGTGTTGTGGGAGTAAGAAAACGAAGGAAATTACTGAGTACGCTTAATAGACAGGTTCCGTAGTTGACATTTCCGAATAACCCGGAACGGTATGTGCCAGACTCAAATCACCAAATCAACGTGGGAGGCCCTGCAGTCAATCTACCGGATATCTAGACGTCAGAATCGAGCACTCCGATGTCGCCTATTAGCAACAGCCGAGGCGATCACTAATCGGTTCCATAAACCCCAACGTATCGGCTCAACAGTAGTTTGTCCATGCTCTTCATCTACCATGGCTTCAAACCGCCCCGTGTGACGACGATGCACTTAACTCGTCCAATAACGTTGCCCTAGTCATTGCCATCACCTAATCTCATGAACCGAACAATTCGCCTCATTGATTTATCGCATTTAAATGCCCTGTGTTAGTCGCATTTTCTATCTGCTGTGCTGTACTTGCCTGATGAGAACCACCGAAAACAAGCTTGTTCGCCTGATTGTCTTGTACTTCTGATGTCACCTTAGGGAGTATTTGCTCAGTTCAAGAATAAACAGACGAATACCAACAAGGTGGATAGACTGTGCTCCGTAATAAATTGCGCCTAAATTTCTTCGAACGTCTTCGGTGTAAAGAAACGATGATCAATGCTACGGCCCTTGGGTTAGAGCAAAAGAAACAGGCGGAGAGACACATGGGGAGCGTAATTAAACCTTAATGAAAACATAATTTGCTGTTATCCCGGCTTATGCGTCAGAAATATACAACTCGCATCTCCTCTAGGCATATGCACAGGGGTTCAGGTATGATGTACAGAGCGGCGCTATTCATTGTCTTCGTCGCAGACATGCATCTAAGCTACCATGTTCCCTTATGACCTTAGTTACACAAGGACGACCATAGGAAAAGCACCGAATGTAACGAAATAGACCAGGTCAAACAAAAAGATGAGATATGAAGTATACAAGGTGGTCAATGTTTTCTACTTCGACCCTTGCCTGCACATGTGGCGTGCAATTCAAAAGTGAATCTCCAAGCTGACTTCAGTTTCTGATCTCCACTGCTGACATTACGAACAGAATAAAAGTTCGATATGCTACTTTCAGAACCCGGCGCTCCACACTAAATGTGGTGTCTCCCAGGATCGGATTTGGCTACTGTGCTTCGCAATCTTAACAAGCTAACACTGCCCAGTATGCCATTTGGGAAAAGTGCCTATCCAGATGTGCGTAGGTTGTGCTGGCTGTTTTACAAACAGCACCAACTTCCTTCAGTGAAACGACAAAACGCCTCCCATGATCTACGAGGACGGCGGTGTTTTGAAGATAGCGAGATTCGCATACCATTCACAGCCACTGGACGGGAATGTGTCGACATAGGGGTGAATGGTTCACATCATTGGAGCGTCTAGCATGAACCACTACGAATTACATAGGCTAGCGAAATGATAATCATCCAGGTCCATCGTTCTTTACATTTCCAAACGTAGCAGTGCGATGTGACAATTGTCGTTACTTGTAGAGCTGAATATACCGCTCGTCTCTGAACAACCACCCACTTCCATTACAGGCATGGATTTGGAATCACGTGATAACACTCAAATGGCTGCAGCTCGGTGGTGGCAACCAACTAGCTTTGCTCAAGTGCCGCACGTTGCGAAGTAGAAGTTAGCAAATTGTAAAAGCCACTCAAGGTCACCCGTCGTCAGCTCCCAGGTTGTGTGATAACCAGTAAGAGTTTGATGTAAATGGAACAAACCATAACATTGCTGCCACCACCTTTTGCAGTCATGCTACCGAAACCCATGCTTCAATGATCGGCGAGGATGGATCTCGTCAAACACTCATCCTTCGTGATATAAAAGGGAGTTTTTCGGATCGCAGTCGATAAAGTACAAGGTCACCGACGAGAAGAACACTACTGTCATGTCTTTCCTCTCCTCTCATTACTGACCGATTGCTAAACAACCTCTAATGGTCTGGTTCTACGCACCCTGTACGGAGAATAGGTAAGTACTGTTTCCCACATCTTATGGAGTCTGTGCGAGCATTTGCCACGGTGCGCTCTGTTCGCTGGCATAGGGTAGCACTGGAAGAAATCGCACGGCGATAAAATATCAAGGCGCTGACTTCCAGTTAAACTGTTGTCGGCTCCGTACGTCTTCCGGGTTGGGGAGTCTGCGATGAAGAACACCGTTGGCTGGAGACTCTTAAGGACATGGCGCGTAATCGCATACAATGGAAGGTTTGCATAAAGCTATGAAGTGATTCTACTGATCAAAACCGTAATCACTAAGCTGACAAAAATGACAGAACGGCGTGTGAAAAACACAAAAATATACTTCGTGTATTTCCTCTTTGGTAATCTTTGTACTTATTATACACATTCATTCCATGGTTTCTCGAAAAGATCAAGTTAACTGCTAAATGTTCAGATGAGGAGTCATATGTCAGATTTCTTCAATAACAGACTAGCTATCTAAGAGAGTAACTGAGTAACGCTGCTACACCAGAGGTAAATTCTCGCATTCACTAAGGTACTTCATGCAAAATAAACAAATTCGCTGCTATATTCTGCACGTCAAGAGGTCTGTGACCACGTGGGGCTTGGTGCAAGATGCTGCCAAGGCCGGAGACCAGTTACACCAGCGGTAAAAACCGATAGGAACCGGGATACCAGCAACGGATATGGGATAAGTTTAATGGAAAAGCTGACATAAGAAAGAATGCTGTTAACACGAAGGCATCGGAGGGTGTGTAATCCGTAGGAACTTTAATATTCTGATGCAAGGTTTCATCGAGAATAAAACTATTAATTTGGCTATTTATATAGTCAATGGTGAGACTTAAGCCCCACTACATCCACACAAATTCCCATTTCCGAACTGCTTTATGTGCGTTAGTCGGCTACATTCTCATTAGTTTTCTGATAGCTTTAATGTCATGCTCAGACGCTTCTGCTCAGTTCCAATTATGTGTTATGTTGTCTCCTGGAACCACGGCTACAGGAACACACAGCAATTGCTCTGCTTTATCGTCTTTTGTCGGAAAGAGACGTATAGTTTGGGTTCATATTTCGCAATACCTTGATATGTGTCAATCGTGAGATAGTTCGTTGTACCAGCCTTGTGGTTAAAACATACCTAGAGGACTGCAGATGCGAACAGTCAGTGCGTACGACATCGCTGACGAGGAATACAGCGCTCCCAGGCCGTTCGCCTCCTCTCATTAATGACCGACTGTTATACAACCTCTACAGGCCTGGTTATGCACACTCTGTGGGGAGAATAGGTACATACTGTACCCCACATCTTACAGAGTCCAGTCATGCGTGGGACTGTGTTCCGATTTAGACTGACTTTGCTCACACACACAAGAAAAATCTACAACGCGTTATCTCTAGGCTGTAGATAGACCAATCTATGTGAGTACCTTCTGAAACTGGGAATTAAATGGTCGGAGAACGAGCGAATGAATGAGTCACCCTTAGCCCTTCAGATTCCGTTGAGCCCTTTGTAGTCTGTGGAGTAGCTGGACGTCACCACAGTCATTTATATTAATAATGCTTAAGGAAGCGCGCGGTGTGATAGAAAAGTTGAAGTATAGACCCATGTGTGTAGTACAGGAGTAACTTCTAACGTTATACAATAGAACACAGCAAAGTGGGAGGTGTGAGGGTAGTATGAAAAACGGGAGCAGTAAACGACCAACCTGCAGATGAACGCGGTGGAAGCCCGCCGCACCGAATGATTCATAGCTGCATTTCCATAATTTATATAGAAAACTGCAGGAATCCGCGCGGATTTGAGCGACCGCATCGTTTAGCGGTACACTTTCATCTGCCAGTGGCGGAGTAGATTCAGATTCCAGTGCACGAGATGAGCTCTCGTTTGCCCAACGAAGGCTAGTCAAGCACACCGCATTAAGAACATCAGTGGACTGGGAGAAGAGTACCTGCGGGAAATTAATGCGAAGAGTACAAGGTGGCAGTAAACTTCGTACTACTTATAAGTAGGCAAAAACGATACTAATCTTATTGCAAGAGCAACCTGTGCAGCGCCCGGTGACGGACAGTTACATAGTGATCGGCATGGCATAAAGAAGTATGCAATCGGAAGTGGCTGGGCACGGATTACTCAAGCCACATAGGGTTCAGGTGGAATGGACACTGCTTACAATTGCCGAAAGCATTAAACGGCCGTACAGTGCTTTTCTGAGCGAGTGATGGCCGTTTGACTGAGTCTAGATGAGATGAACTAGTTAAACCATTCAACATACGTGTGGCTTGTAATCTAATTGTGATGAGCCAAGTAAACATCCGATATTTGTTGAAAAGTGCGAATCGGATGCTTCGCGGCTGGCTCACTCGCGGCTGCATTGGACACAATCCAGCTTACAGACGGTGGCAGAGCACAAAGCGAGAAGACGGTGGTCAGACGGGCCACGTAAGTGGGGTGGACGTAGAGCCGCCTACCGCGGTCAACCGATGGCAATCGCGAGTGTGAGCAGACGATGTGTGTGTGTTCACGTGTGTGTGTAATCATGTAAAATGGCTGAACAGAGGCTGGAGGTGTAAGTGTTGCAACCTGATACAGCAGTGACCTAATATCTGTATCATTTGTGAACATAACAGGTCACCTGCTGATCGAAGTAGGTCAACTGAATGGCATTGGGACCACACAGATCGGTGCCGCAAACCGCGTACGATGAGTCACAATATGTGATACAAGGTGACACGGTGGAGTAACGCGCAGAAAATATGTGACTTGCTAAGCTGATTCGCGTTAGGTGCAGAGAAACCGATTAAGGTGTTAGTGCATTCGTCCAAACAAAGCGCAGTCGAAAAGCTATGGGGAACAGTTTGCAGGAAGACATCAACAGCTTCACAACGATTCGATACAAAGGTTGCTTTGTTAGAATTTGTTTTACAAGGAGGCGTAGAACAGCCAGCGTAGAATGTGTGGAGTTTGAATTCCGATTCAGGACACAGACCCTATGAGTGAATGATCGCTTAGAAGCGTTCGGCAGGTTTCACAGCCGCCCAATGGATAAGCACAGAGCAAAAATGCCCGTATATCTGCAATTACGATTGAAAGGCAAGGTCGTGGCCAAACAGATTGAACGACGTTATTATATGGCATTTTGATGCACACTCTAAGTCGTCAACCAGTAAACCCGCTAAACGAGCAAGAAGCTATCGATGCCTGCTCAGCCGGTATCCGCAACAGTACTGTTTCATTTGTAGCTAAGGGGTTAGTTGCTATGGCAGAACAGACCGGTGCCTGAGTAAGCAAATCGGAGGTGACATTCCAAGCTGAATCAACCCAACGGCAAAGCAATCACAAACGGAAGGTGTATCAATGAGAAAATTGTCAACATCCAGCCCGTGATCGAAACGTGCCATCAGGTTGACTCCGATTAGGCGTTTGCGATCAGCTATCGTGACACAAACGCCGGCGCGCTTGGGTTTACCAAGGCTGTGGCCATTAATTGGTTATTCGTCCAAAGTTGTGCATCTAAAAATAGTTATTCGTAGCACTTAAACTCATATGGAGTTCGGAACTTACGTCCCCACGTACATATGCTGTAATCTAGACTTGATGGGATCTTCTAGGTATGAATTATGGATTTATCATGTGATTACTTAAGGCACTGCTGGTTCGCAGATGAACAGATAGCACGAAATTGCACCAACTTGCGACACTCGACTTCTTGTTCTTTTGTTCCGTATCATCAAGTGGAAAAATAAATGCTTGAGTGGAAGGTATAATGGGTGGGTGACGGAGAACATGCGGCTCATTAGGGCTGAAATGTACCTTGGCGAAGCGACCGATGAAAACTCGCAGCGCAGCAAACGTGTGTCGAATCAGATAATCAGAGGGGTTATGCGACAGGAGAGCGATGTACACTTCCAAAATCCCCTTAAACATCGGGTCATCGGGTTTACTTGACTGCAGATCGGACTGAAAAATACAGAAAAGGAAACAAATGATGGTAATGGGGGCACGGATCGGACAGTCGCATAACGAAGTTAGGAGGTGTAGGGCGGGTTCAATGCACAAAAGTTATGCAATGGGCTGTTGGGGAAAACAAAAGATAAATCAACTCTAGATCGAATGCATAGATCCGGTGGAAAAAATTGAGGCCGAATGGCTGCACCCAATGTCAAGGTAATGAATGGGTGAACGATGGGTTCGCAGCTTGCCTGCATTCAATGTACAACATTGGAATGACATGCTTTGAATAGAAAATCATACCATCGACTGCACCGTCCGACGAGAAAATATACTGCTGAAGACGAGCGGTGCAAAAGGCAAACGCAATGTGTGTGTGTATGTGTGTAACATAACTGTACGTCCCAGATCAGATCTGCTTGTTATCTATGATGCCGGCATCGAAGTACGTTGGAACCAATTCCAATGGGCAGTGCTGCTGCAAATGTGTAGGTGAGTGGCACACCAAGCAAACACAGCAAGGGCAGAACAAGAGGACGGAGAGCCAAGCTGAGAGCATCCGCAAGCATGTCCATGAGCAGACCAGCAGACGATAATTACGTGGGCTGGATAAAGAGTTCAAAATTGGTTGGGCCTAGCGTCAATGAGATGGAGCACAGAAGGAATGTACTGACCTAAACAGCCGTGAGTGACCAGCACACTAGAGTCAATGAAAGTGGACTGGCTGCACAGAGCTTAGATGGAGAACGAACCAATGAAAGGGAACACAAGTGACAGCGAGTCGAGTATACTAACAATACAAGTGGTCACTCTTCTCATTGAAAGCAGATCTTTGACAGTGTACCGACTATTAAAGTAACCAATCTGCGAGTTACGCCCAGAGAGACAACATACGCCAAATCGAACAAGTTTTTCGAGTCATCTATTTACAGTAGGTAAACGAAGTGCTAGCCTGTCGTGGTAATTTGGTTGCAAACATTTTACTATCAATCGTGGTGACATGTTCGGTGGGTTTTTGTGTGACAGTGTGTCAAGAGTCTTGTAAGTGAGGTCTCATGTTCTATCCCAGGTGGCTGTTTGGACAAGTAGCCCTACAGACTGGGTGGTCGTCGATCAGCGTTCAGAATGCATCACAAACAAGTGACCTTGGAAACAGTGTTGGCATTCATACGCCTGCTCATGTGGGTCAACCATGCGATTTGTTTGCTTAATGTTATGTTAGCAAAATGAGTCGTGCTGAGCACATGGCATCCAGTTCAACATGTTGGCCGATCGAATTTGTTGTGGAGTACCATTGGTACAGATCAACGTGCTATGGTGACCAGCCAAACATATTCCCAGCGTTTTCTCCTATGAGTAACGTTCCTATGCATGAACCTGTTCAAGGCGGACGCCTTTGTCGGTCCATTGAGTGGTCGTCTCTAACAGCTTTGACTGTACAAGAATTCCTTCGCGTTTTTTTGCCCTTACGTACTAGAATCGTCACATATTAAAATACAAAAATAGCAACTATCTTGATCCTCGTGAATGGAAATCAAGGGATGTAGACCAAATCATGTGTCCGTGTAGAACGTTCCTTCCCGATTTATGAGATGTAGTGTCTGCAGCATTTGTTCCCTTTGGACTGGTCCATAATGCCTGCAAATGGTCATCCCCAGGTTTCACGTAGTCAACTGCCTACTACTGGAGAGTGACATACTGAAGTAGAATAGGAGCGACGCGGTGCAGTCACCAATGAACAGAGATGATGGGCTTGTTAAGGCCTTTAACAAGCAGTGGCCCATTTCTTGATGAAATTGACCAAGACGCCTTCGACACTGCAATATTAGTGGGAACTTGCACAGTAAACTACCAGTACGTTATTGAAGTGACCACTCCAGGTATTGAGCAATAATCTAAAGGTAAACCACCACTAAGTCTAAATCGTAGATTGTATATCGAGTTACTTGCGACTATGGTGTCAACTAACGCTGATATACGACCAGGTGTTTGTTGATACGGCAAGCTCAACACTGCCCAGAGGCACTGGGGAAAGGCACGACCGGAGGCATCAACGGTTCCATACTGGAAAAACCGATCCAAATCGGACACTAAATTCGGCTTAAGGATGCTTACAAAGTGTTCTATAACGCACCGACGCGCGCGTGCTGAAGACAGACGAAGTGATCACTAGCAACCTAAGGGTGTCTGTGCAACCTTTCACGTTGCCAAGTCCCTAAGGAGAAATCCCTGACATGAAGCACTGAAGACGATCGAGCGTGGTTTTCTACACTCTTTCTATTGATCTATATGTGCCTCCTACGTAGGTCTGTGAGCTCTTTTGTGACCCTTACCAACGGAATAAATTGATTTGGGTATCGGACAAATGCACTAATCTTGCTCAAACCATCTCAACCATTTCCAGTATGACATTCACTAAAGTACGGTTACCACAAGCGTGCAATCATATTCACCCGAGGTGAATAACCGAAGACAGATCTCTTCGTTGTCTGAGACCATGATTGCTATAACAGTGCATCACATAGAGTTGCAAACCCAATGGCTATTAATATCACAGTCCCCGCTGAGCTTTGAGAATCTAACGCTCTCATCTAATAATGGATATGAACACAGAGCGGGCTTCAAATATTCTCATACTAGTCTGACGGGCTACGTAAGATGTCTGTATGTAGAACGCCAATTTGCGCCGAGGTAGAGCAAATAATCGCGGAAAATAATAATAAATAGCTGCAAGAACGAAACGGCGTGGTCCAAAAATAAAATAAATTGGGGGTTGACTAATGCTATTCAGTTGATGGGTGGTTGTTCACCAGACTAGCAGTTCGATTGCATGCGTTTCGTCCCGAAGTGAGGTGACCTCATCGGTGAGTCACTGCGCAACGAGTAACCTTACTGATTAACCCATTTTCTGTTGGTGTTCTTTTTAAAGGACACTTGCTAAATGTGATTTAAACATTGAATTAATTAAGACAGTTAGATTGGCCAAAATGATTGCAGAATACCAAGGATTGGCATCTTTTCAGAAAGTTCGGTCAAATAAAAATAAATATTATATTGTTTTAATGCGTTTTAAAGGTGTTCTTCAAAAACGTCAACGGAAAATGTGTTAATGGTAGGAATGCCGGCGGATGCATGGAAAGTCGGGGGAAATGAAAGACTGTCGATGAAATTGTAGATATAGCAAAGGGTAGGATGGAATGAAATCACGGCTAAGGGACTAAGTAAATGGAGCAGGTGTATGCGCAAACAATTCATCTTTATGAGGTGGTGGTTGATGGTGGAGTAAAGTGCACTTACTCTAAATACGCTGGAGAAAATGTGAAGCAAATCAAGTACAATAAGTCCCGATTCGGTAGCTAAATTTGCCTCCAAAAGGATTTTGTAATCTGAGAAGAAAAGAAACAAGACCGGATATTTCACTGCAACAACGCAACAGAGAATGATGAACACGGACGCACAGTCTTTGTGCGAGTGAACCCATCACTAACCTGTGATCTCGCTTGCCCCATTTTCTTTGAGATCTTCAGTAGTACCAGAGGTATAGACATTGTTCTCTGCAGTTCTCCCAGCCGCACTACCGGAACGCTTTGTAAGCTGAGAGTGGATTGGCAAAGGCGGTCGTCCAACAGCAACACGACTTCTGCTAATGTGTCTGAGGGCAAGACAAAGGCATAGAGGAGGATGTGAAAGCCTTCACGGACATAACGTATAAAAAGCTATGATGAGATTGAATGAGGAAGAGTGAGATCTCCGAAGGCGAAACAAATGCCGGATTACCATCAAAACCCATTCACCAAAAATGACTTACTTAACGCAACATGTTGCATCGTATGCCGTCGATACGGTTCACGACTGCACTTCTTACATTTGGCATGTGTGCGCGATAAATTCAGTAGGTCGAAGCGATTCGGGTCTATGTGTTCGCATGTGGTAATCGCATTTTTGGGCTGGAGATGTAATACCGTATTATCGACTCCAGTAAGAACCATACATTTGTCAGTGACCCAACCTACGCCGGTTGTGGTTACCTGCTTGCATTACTGATCAACATGCTGGCGAAATTGAAAACGCTATGTTACCGACCAATCACTTACTAACAAAAAAGGTCGTCTATAAAGGATCAGAGGTAAGATTCCTAGGTAAGAGTAGAGAAACAGAAATATTTAATATTCCTAAACGACAGGTCACTTGACCCATTAGTAGTTAATATACACACCGCGTTAAACCCGAGAAGTATGGATACCCTGGAAAATTGGTATAAACCGCCTAATGTGGCGTTTATCTCACGAGGCACTCAATACCAAGATCGTGAGCATTCCATCCGGCTCATACACTGTGGAATAGAAGTGATAATAGGGACAAATGGTTTTTTGGATCCAAATATATTTCTTTAATGTGGAGGAATAGCGCAACCGAAAAGAAGATGACACATACGGACCACACACATGCACACACGCAAACCCACACAGGGTGGTGATTGGAAAATATTCCCCTCTGTAATAGAACCAGTCTTAATTTCTTCCAGCACTTCCCAGATGAAGCAACAAAACAACAACAACAACAGTAGCAATACAGCAACCAATTGAATTTATGCTTCGCTGCCATACAACCATGAGGACCTATGAAATAAAGAATAAGAAGAGGGAGAGAAGGGGGACTTACCTGAAAACCTTAATGCCCTAAGCAAACATTCAGGGTCAAGGCGCTTACACCTTGTGTAGACAACATACCGTCACAAACAGCTGGCTATAGTGCAAAGATAATGCGGCATCGGCGAGACAGCTTCCTTGCGGCTTTCACTGCCACGCGTCATAATCAGCCATTACCCCTCAGATAACGCAGCACCAAACACACTTTAAACAGGCAATCCGATTAGGAGACGGCAGCAGACGCGCCATTAGTGCTGACGGCGAGCCATGTCTTGTAAAGTCTCGAGCCAAGCATAAAAAGAGTCACGTGGACTCCAGCCGGGAATGCGAGACGGACCCAATTTGGTCGTCAGTGACTTCATTTCCCGCTGTCAAGCCAACATCTGTCCACCTCAAGCCTTGCACCACCCTACACCTGACAGGCTAAACAAGGCCCTCTTAGGTAAGCGGTGACCAGGCATACGTACCACGTGCTCGAGCCAACGCAACTTATTCAGTGCTAGCTGTTGTTCTAGGGAGCTAGCATGATTGTCACAACCTAGTACTCGCCTACGCACATCATCTTTGCGGACACGCTGATGCCATCCGACACCTGCAATACTTCGCAGACAACGATGATCAGACCGAAGGGGCCAAGTCTCACTGCCGTAGAGCACAACGGCCCTCACCGTGGCCTTGTATATACGGCCTTTCAGACGGTGGAAAACTCTCTTCTGTCGCCAAAGATGCCGCAGGTCCAAGAAGGCAACTATGGCCTTTGCAATGCATGAGCTGACGTCAGTTACTATGCACCCATCGTTGATGATGCAGCTGCCAAGATAAGTGAATTGATCAACCACCTCGAGTTCCTCGTTAGCAAGGGTCAAGAGGTCCTGCATAAACACTTTGCACTTTGAGGGTGCAAACTGTATACCAAATAATGGGATCACTCTGGACAGGCTATACAGGGTAGATTATGCCGCCGCAACATCGTCGAAAAGCAAGACGATATCGTCCGCATAATCAAGATCAACTTATCTTTCACCAGACAGCACTTCTACATCGTGAGACTCTGCAAGGAAACACTCCATGATAGAAAAGACAGGACGATATTGAACAAAAATGGGGAAATCGGACAACCCAGACGGACGCTACTTGTGGTCGAAAAGCTAGCCGACAGGACACCGTAAACCCTGACGCGGCCTGTAGTGTTCGAGTATAAAGAATGTTATTAAAGAATGTTCCGCGCAAGTATGTCGAACAGAATCGATCGATCAACTGTATCGCACGCACTCTTGAAATCGAAGAATACAGTTATTGTCGGTCTGCGGTATGCGTGGTGCTGCTCCAGCAATTGCCGCAAAGTGAATATATGGTATACACAGCCAAGTCCTGGGCAGAAACCTGCCTGTTCTTCCATAATCCGAGATTCCCGTTGCACAGTGAGACGACGAACGAGAATGGAAGCCAGTAATTTTATCACAAATGGCGTTAGGCTGATACCCATGTGGTTAAAACAGTCTGTGCGACTGCCACTATAATCGATTCGCTCCAATCAGCCGGGACACTTCCTTCCATATACGTTCGAATGGGGACATCAGTAATTTGCAGAGGACCTTACCTCCATCTTTAAATAGTGCAGGTGGGAGGGAATCCCGGCCAGCGGCACGAAAACGATTGAGGGCTGTGATCGCATTTCCGCCTCCGACGGAGACTCTAAACTAGCTGTCCACGGCTCGCTCTGCATCAGATGAGTAGGAAGAGGTCCGGGAGCAGATGGCCAGCTGAACTGATCTTGAAAGTATCCTACCTAAATAGCTATCCGCAACTCCTTATTGTGTGTCAGCGCATCCCCGCTGTCTTACTGACGCCTGGTTTCCTGGGACCAGTGGTGCGGATTAGCTGGAAGAACTTGCGGTAATTGCCTACTGCCCCTGCTTCCTCCATTTCTTGAGCCCGACTGGTCCACCAGGCATTCCCGTCAGCACGTAGGCTCCGCTTTAGTTCACGCCTAATAACCCGTCTGGTTACATTGTGTACAGAGCCAGCCGGGAGGTGTCTTCTAGCTTCCAACAGGTTCACGGAGCTCTCGGATATCCAGTGACTGGTGCGGTGACGATTGACAGTGTCACAAGCAGCTGCTCCTGCGTCGTGCATGGCGACCGAGATCCTATTCCACTGAAGTTCAGTGTCACTAGGACAAGACAGCGGAAGTCCGATACGCAGCGCCTCTTGATAGGCTTGCCTGACCGAGGACTGAGACAATTTCCCTTTTGCCAATCGTAGGGGGCACTTGGTGCGCCTCTCGGTAAAGTTCATGGAGAAACGACAGCGTACCAAGGCATGATCAGAGTCGACGCAGGTATTCCAGCACGAGCGGCAATGCAGGATGGAACCACGTCACCTGTAACCTATGACAATATGATCAATTTGGGTCCATCGCTGGCCAGCTACAGGAGGACGCCAAGTGGCACTTCAGCGCCCACTGTGTCTAAAAGCAGTGCTACTAAGAAACAACTGGTGCACCGCACACCGTTGCAGCAGGCGCTCGCCGTTGTCAGTCCGTTCGGAGTTAAGCCCATAATTACTACCCAGCTGAGCTTTTGAAGAGCGCAGACACCTTACTTATGCATTCATATCCCCTGCAAGTAATATAATATCTGAAATAGCAGCACTGCGTAGTAGCGCGTTCAGTTGGTGATAGAATGTGTCCTTGACAACATTAGAACTGCAGTCGGTGGGAGTATAAGCGGAAAACACAAACAAACAGCGTGTTGTACTACTTCGTGAATCAACTTTAGCTGATGTCGCCAAACGGGCTGCACATAAACGGCTGTACACCGGAATGCAATGAACCAATGAAGATTCACTCTTGGAACTTAGAAGGATACCTACACCAGCTTGACCCATGAGTACTGCATCGGCGTCTCCGGATACGTGCAACCAATAATGAGAGGATAAGCCAGGTGCAGTTAATTGAACAACCTCCTTAGGGTCACCGATCCTAGTTTCGGACACGCAACACACATCAATACCCAGTGTGTTCAAGGTGCGTGCGAGTGTAGCCTGTTGATCTATTTGTCTTAGAGTGCGAATGTTGAACGTTGCCATGGAAAATGGACGGCGTGGCCTTATAAGGGACTGTTGCCGATAGGCTCCGATGTGTGTTGTGGGAAGGTGGCTGCAAATGGTTTTACTCCAGTAGCACTTCGATTGCTGTCAAGTGTAAAAGGGGGGACGGGATGGAAGTAAGAGAAACATGCAAAAGAAAGAAGAGAGGGGCCAGCAGTAGCATGTTTTTTCTTCTTCGTCCTGCTGTATGCAGCAGATAAAACGGCCCTTGATAATCTGCGCAACGGCCGATGCAGGAAGAAATTTATGTTTGAAGAACATATCATGGATGTAGGTGGACTGAGATACTGCCAGGGCGTCCAAACCTAGACGGGAGGACGATTAGGGTCCTCAACCAAAGCTTTTGGCTCAAAAGCCTGATCGCAAGGCAGCGGGGAGGTGGAATGATTTGATTTTACAGAAGTGGACGCCATCCCATTTCAAACCCCCAACTTGGAGGACCAGGAGACTGAGTTTGTCTGACCTCCCACCATTGACCAACCTGATAGGAATAGCTCTCAAGGTGCCCGGAGGCACCATCCAGTATAGCTCAATGGGTCAAAGTAATACGCAAACTGTCGCATCACGTTAAGGTCAAGTCTCGTTGCGACGATGACAGTGGAACAAATCGCCACCCTCTTCTGGGGCCAGAAAGAGAGGTGGTATGGGACGAGTAGGCGGGCTGCGCGGCAGGTGTAGCCATAAGGGACATATCAGACCGAGGAAGGCGTTACAACATTCCACAGTAAATGTGATCATTCAGCACAAATCCAAGTGCAGAGAGCAGCCGCGAAGGGAAGAGCCGTCTGCCATGTGACCCTAAGGTGGCCAGTTCGAATCTGCGTAGATGCGAGAAAGCTCGTACTACCCCTATCCCGCGGCGTGATTGGTGGGGATCGCGTATCAGTGAAGTACCAGTGCGGCGCATCAGCGTATTGAGGATGACCATCCTTTTTCTTCTCATGTAGAAAGAGTGCCGGAAACAAACTGGAGCAAAAATGGCCTAAGGGAGGTAATAAGAGCACATGCAAGCCACTACACCGGATGTACTAGAGACGGGAATGTAGAAATAGTATGCATTCATAAACTTGAGAAATGACTGAAAGGATCACATCCTCGACCGGTTATGCATAGAGTAGGATGAGCGGAAACGAACTCAGATTTGCGAATCGTTAGCCAAAGTGTCCCAAGTCACTAGTGCGTGTAAGTGTTAGGTTCTGAAAGAGGAATCGAAGAGCCGAAGGATCGGCGTCCGCGCATAGTATGCTGCTGAGTAAAAGGAAGCACAAACAAGCGACAAAAGGGCAAAATGACGAGCAAGCCGGAGCGTCATAATGGAACTGACATATGAATGGAAGTTCAAAGGTTGGGAGTCAATACACCTGATGTCCACGGAAGGTGCCAGAACTTTTATGCTTCATGTTAGCTTTAGCGACCTGGGAGTAGCCTCAATCTCATTCGAGGACAAACACCAGCAATTCGTACGAGTTCAACAGCACGAACGCGAATCAAGACAGCGTGGTCGTTACACCGATTGGAGATGGTCAAGTCCGCTACGTTTGCTGTCATAACCTAAAGAGAAGCGGTTTCCACGAGACATGAAATACATGAGAAAATTGTTATACATGTGTATGCTGTTGGCATAGGATCGGCTTCGATTTCTCAGTGGTCATTTGGCGTTGTGTGTGGATTCTTGTGGCCACAAAAGTAAGGACCCAATGAGACCAGAAACAAGAATAATCTTGATTGTAATGCACAGACACTAGCAGTTTTAATACGAACTAATCAACTAATCCGGGACGACCGATTCTGTGCAATTTATTGGGCGTATTTCAAATCGAATGCATGCTGGTTCGGGATTAGTTTCCGGCTGATGCGCTGATGTATTGCATAGCCTGGGTAGTTTTTCACGGAATGAAACACGCTAGCACCTCGCCCTTAGCTTTTTGGATCCGCAAACTCCACACCCGGTAAACTTGGGACGGAGTCGTCTAGTTTCGTGTGCAAGCAGACTGGTTACTTGAACGCAGTCCGACATCTGCCGCTGACTGCAGATTAACAGCCGTTTCAGTTCGAAGTCTTCTAGGGGAATATCAAGACTCAGCTAGTAACAATGTACTGAGCATGACAAAGGGTGGAGCGGATTTGGTTAGCGCGAGGTGTCTAGAGCAGCGCATCTACCTGAACATTGCACATAACGCAACCTTTCCAGCACATATGGCTGCGGAATTTCATCAAGTGGGGTGCCATTAGCTGGTGCATAAGCCGTGCTGTCCGGATCTCTAACTTGATGGGATCTTCGTAGCGAAACACGAAGAGAACCCCGAGTGTAATGTACGTGTAAATGGATAGCCGTTGCACCGGACACCAAGCACAGGTATGTGGAGAAAACGAAGGCATGGGTCGAAAGCCCACGCAAAATTATCACATGAGCAAGATTTTCAAGTGTAACTGTGGTGAGAACATAAAAGAGGACAAAACAGAAGCTCACTCGTATTTTTGAATGCATTGCTTTCCTCGATATTGTAAATGTTGAATAGCGTAGCTGTGAAAAAGAGGTAGAAGAGATTGCTTGTGTTATCATAAAGAGCAGAAAAAGCGATCGGAAGGTAATTTCTGCACCCAGTAACTCCTGCATTCATGCACACACGCAAATGGAGTAACAGAGAGCAGGCAGGTAGGTCTCATAAACGAGACTGTCTTAAGAAGAGTACAAATGTAAGGCCGGTTCAAAAATATGAGCAATCATTGGAGTGGGAAAAGTCGAAAAAGCGTACAGTGTAACAAGCCGATGGCTGAGTTCGTGAAGCCGGATGAAACCAGAGTTATGACGCTAGACAATGAACCTCGATTGGTGAGAGGCCACGCATGTGGAACAAAAGCCAGAGGAGGCTGGAGACTGCAAGATCGATGTGGTTAGAGAGACTGACACAGTGGCGTAGTGACTACTTTTGCCGCCCGAGGCAGTGGTAAAATGTTCGCTCCTCCTCTGGCAGTTGTAAATCTGTAAACACTCAAAATCGGCCCAGGGCAAAGTGCACATTAGTTTTCAATGAAATGGATGCTGGTTTGGGACACTGAGGTGAATGTAGTGGAAGTGGCCACAATGGGACAAGTAGGTGGATCGCTGGGAAGAGCGTTCGCACGAATGTGTGTGGCTGGTCATACAGAGAAACAGTAAAATATGCAACCATCGGTTTATCTGGAAATTTTGTCATTTATATTTGATATCGAACACACAACGGTACCCAAGATGCCGCCCCCTGTCACATGCCGCCCGAGGCAGAGCGCTTCCTGTTGCTACGCCTCTGGACTGACATTTAATCCGCAAGTTGTCGGTTCGCGGCTTGTGACAGCGACCTCGCAGAATTACTAGCTCAAGTGCGCGGTAATGGAGTGTCGGTACAATGCACTGGCGTACTGATGATGGGACAGGAACAAGTGGTTCTGTGGAAATCGGATTGCACCTCCAAGTTATAAGACGGGACTGATTGAAAAGGTAGAAAACCCATCAATAGCGATGCTGGGCCAGCTACCGACTAAAGGACCGGTTAATTTAAGTTGATGCGACCCGAGCCAGTATGCGATAATTTCAAGCGATTGTATGCCTAGCGAAAGAAGTCGTGTACCTGGGGCCCCGTTTCATCCGATACTGCCAACCTACATGGCAATGGAGGATGAGTCACGTGATAGTGTCACTCGACGGCGAAACACAGACGCACACAACCGATCATCCTTTTGCGCATCGCTGCTCGCGGGCCGAAATAAATTGGTCCGTTGAAAAACAATGCGCCTCGGTGAGCATGCGTGTGCGGGGTGCACAGTTAACGGCGAGGCTGAGATTGGTAGACAACCAGTACGGTGGCATACACGACGGACAAAGCGAAGTGCTGTGTGGCATTACTTTGTGATGAGAAAAAATGAAATGAAACAAAAACCTGAAGAAAGTGGAAGCAAGATTAGAGCGATAGATCGAACAGGGGACCACCACCAACTGAATGCGATTGAGTGTTAAATCGCCAACGTGATCGATACCTGGGCCATCCATCTAAGCGAGCAGCTTCACAGGCATTTGGCCAGGTGTGAGCATGGCGGAAACAAGCATGCCGTTGGCGAACACGACGGTAAGGAGACAAGGGAGTAGAGCAACACAACATGAATAATTAATCGCTGGAGGCCAGTAGTAATGTTCTAGCGATGCCAAAATGTTTTTACCGGTGGTTTAGGGATAGCGGTCACAACTAACATCCCAATGGTCCCGGTTTGATGCCTGCTATCTTTATCTGATGAGAGGGAATAACCTCAAAACGCGTCATAGAAGTGCAGTGTTATGAGATTGCCACTCGCCTCTTCGTCTCAATAATACGACCAATTACAGAGTATGGCTCACCCGCGTATTGGCATATCATCCAGGGCGAGGTAAAAAGGACTGAGCGGGTACAGAAAGTGGCCAACACGCCGATTCCCAATTTACGAGGTGTGGTGAATGAGGACCGGTGTAACAGATTAGAGTTTCACGCCCTATCTTATCGTCGACAGCGGGTTGACCTCATCACGACGCATAGAATTTTACATCTGGGTGATCACCCCATGTTGAGGCCCCTGCTGCATCTTCTCAAACCAAACCAGCAAGCGTGGAGACCGGTACAAGCTTGTAGTACCAGATTTGAAGCGGGTCGGTTACAAAATCTGTTTCGAATAGAAAGTGGTGAATGTATTGAATAACCTGCCGCAGCAGGTAGTTGAGGCAAGGTCGGTGTCGGAATTTAAGAAATTCCTGGACAAACACTGCCGATAAAAATATATCGAGCGCACTCCCACTAAACGGGTCTTCCTACGTGAGTGGTATTAAATGCAGTTACACAGATATCTCTTCTTGCTGCTTTCAACCAGTAACCAGGGCCTCTGAGGGACCCTAGCGACGTGGTCATATATGACTGTTGTTCTAAAAGTTAATAAACACTTGATATTCAACACCTCCAGAAAACAGCACCGGCGCCTCGGATACCCGCCATAATGCTGCTCCGTGCCGCAGATTTCCACATTCCGCCGTATACGATTGGCTGCATCCGGTTCCGGATTTGCCTGTCACTGTGAACTCCATAGGAAAGCCACAGGACAGCTGCGCCTACAGAGGGACCATGGATGGCTTGCGCTGCCCCACCCACACACCCCTTATCCAGCGTAAACCCGAAGGAATAAGACCGAGAGGCATGTGGATGGGAGCCATGTTTCATCAACGGAGCCGGCCCACACTCCTTCACAGGCAAACACAAGCATGCTGTAGTTGGAAATCAGGCACACACAAGACGGTGGCTGGACCGTAGTCCGCTCCATACTGAAGGTATGGGACCACTCTTCGAGCCTAGCACGACCACAAGGACCGTGCACCCGGTCCCCTCCAGCAATAACTAACTGTCTCCTGGAGCCAGTATGGATGAGGTAGTGGGTAATAGACAGGTAGGCACCTTGTCAATATGCAGATCATGCGCAGCCACACCGGGATGTCAAACAGCAGCCAATCACTTGAAACGACGATATCAAACAAAATAAATCGAATAATGCATAAAGATATGCTGACCTAACTCTTCAATAAATGAGCATATGAAATAAACTGGTTGCCAACAAATCCGCGATAGGTTCAAGACGTAATAAAATATCTTTTAAGTAAATGCCACAAAGGCGAAAATGTGATCGAAGTTAATTTCAATTAGCTTCAACGACTTGCGCAAGTTTAGAGAGGAAAGTTCAGGTAGACGTAAGTATGAGATAAAAAACCATTAGGGCAATATAGCAAACCCACCACTTGAAATAAAGAGAACCAGCACGCAAGCAAGCAATTAGTAAATCGAATGCAGCGTACCTAATAACGCTGCGCCGGTTCTGTCTACCTTATCAGCAGGACTCGTCGTCATTTCGGTGTTGGCCCCGAGTGACCTCGCTCATGGCTCACTAGGCCTGCCTAACTCAGGCACTCGCGACCGCATGTGCTACAACGCCACGCGCTCGACATCATCGACGCCTGCCGCTTCTACTCTGCATGCATGAGGGATTTCTCTCGCACCTCGGCAACGGCCATCGTGATCAGATCGAGCCATTCACGCCGATCAACCGCCTCCGATTCCCAAGACCTGCAATGAAGGTTACAACGTGAGAGGCTCACTTTGATCATGTCCTGGTAACGTAACTTTGGTTTCCCCACATGCCGCTTCCCCACACTCAGCTGACCATATAATAGCTGATTCGGTATCCGCATAGAATCCACACGCCACACATGGTCGAGCCACGACAAGCATCACAGCAAAAGTATGCAGTCCACTGCATAAGTTCCAATTCGAAGCCAGACCTCCGCGTCTGCAACTCCGCTGCACTAATCAATGCACAGAAGCCGTTGACAACACTGTTGATGGAACCGCTCGAGATATCGCACATCCCGACGGTACATGGTTTATGTTTCACTGCCGTATAGAAGATCGGATAGCATAATGGATTTGTACACCATCAGCTTCGTGCCTATGGTAAGCTGATGGTTGTCCCACACTCGATACTCTAGCTTCTCGAATGCCACCGCTGCCTTCGACACGCGGATAGGCAGATCACTGTGTAGCCGCTGATCAGTCGACATCACACTCCTAAGGTAGCAGAAGCGGGAGGTGGTTTCCAATACTTCAGCACCGATGCTGATTCGCGGCAATATTGAAGATTGCACCTCCGGTGAAGGCTGAAAGAGACAGACAGTTTTGCTTGTGCTGGTGGTAAGTCCGAATCTGGCCGCTGTCGAAACCAGAGCACTAGTCATGTGCTGCAACTCATCCGCGCTGTATGCAAACAGCGCACAGTCGTCAGCAAACAGCAACATACGGATAGTTGTCTCACCTACTAGAGTATTCGCACCGAAACGACGGATGTTCAGCAAACCAACATCAATACGGTGTTCAACACGGACACCGTAATCACAAGCAGTGTCAAAACTACATCATGGCATGAAGAGAAATATTAGACAGGGCAGGAGCTAAGACACAGCCTTGCTTCACACCAGAGACAACCGCAAAGTCATCCGAGGTCTGTCTACTCAGCTGTACCCTCGCCTGCGTAACACTGTGCAGACATCCAATTAAAGTTACAAGCTTACTCATACAACCAAACTTACCCAACACCAGCCAAAATGCCACCCGGTTCACCGTATCAAATGCCTTGGTGAAATCAACCAACAGTGAGTACAACAGCCGATGTCACTATGCAATTCTTCCGCAACTGACGAGCCGCAAGCACCATGTTGATGGTGCCGCGATCCGAACGGAATCTACATGTTTTTTTCCGCCACGTTAGGTTCCACAAACCGGTTGATGAGGAGGTTGAGCAGGACTGGGGCAATCACCTTTCCCACACAACTCAACAAGTTGATGCCACGATAATTCGTACCACATTGCTTGCTCCCTTTGCCCTTGCGCAGTGGTGGCACAAAGGCATCCTTCAGCTCAGGAGGCACCTCCTCCTCAATCCACACGCGTTGCACCAACTGATGCAGCGCAATCACCAACGCAG